GCACGCAGGTCGTGGACACAGTCGCACTCAGGCCAGAAGAACATCCCTCAAGGATATGAGACCCTCCGCCGGCCAAAACAAACAGAACATCTAAGGGTACCCTACCCAAGATGCATAAGAACATCAAACAAACACGAAGAACATTATGGTACCCTGCCCGAACCGACCTCGATCTTGTGCCTCGGTCCGACCGTCTTCCGCCTCTCGCTCCCGCAGGTGATGGCTCCCATCATGCCCTTCCAGATGTCCACGGCGTTGTTCATGTCATGGATATTCAGTGTGTCACTGGTGCTGGTGCCCAGCATTCTGCTGGAGATCGTAAGGTTGCCAATGGAAATATCCAGGCCGAGGATTTCGCTGGATGTCCGTCTGGTTCTCAGGCTTGTAGAGGGAGGAGGAAAAAGGGAGGAGGGAGGAGGGAGCAGAGGGAGAAGGTAAAGCGGAGGGAGGGGTTAGAGAAGGCATGGCAAAAGCATGAGGAAACTATCGAGAAAGGAAAAGGAAGGAAGGAGGACAGCGAGAGAGACAGAAAGAGAGAGAGAGAGAGAGAAAGACAGAGAGAGGCAGGCAGACGTGCAGGCAAACAGACAGGCATAGACATAGACATGGCAACGCACGACAGCTGCCGGCTGCACCTCAGGCGCGGCGAGGACGGAAGCGAGCTGGGAAATGGGCGCAGAAGAGAGCTGGCGACCAGAAGACCGAGACTGCGCCATCTGCCGAACGGGGGCGAACTGGCCGGCAGAGCGTAGACAGGGCAGGTGCCACCGGCCGCGGGAAGGGGGGCGCGGGCGCACCCACGTCAGCGCTGGGCCGTTCTTGGCCGCGGACTCGGCGAGCGCACGAATCGGTCCACCAGCGCGGGGCCACGGCGAAAAGAATGGCGCACCGGTGAGGCTGCAGGAGAGGCGCGCCAGCGCCAGACGTGGACAGGAGGAAGGACAGCATCCGACAGGGCTGCATGGTTGGCTGCGAGTCGGGGATTTCTCCATATCCACCGCCTGAGAACCGACGTCCTGGTGCCCCAGCGGGCGGTGGATATGGATATATTTCGGCCCCCGGGGGCCCGAAGATGTCCATATCCACCGCCTGCCGAGGCTCCGAAGACTGACCCTCCAGGCCGTGGTCGTGCATCAATCCCCGCCTCGGAGCGGCTGCATCCCGGTGCCACGCCCGCCTCCTGCCTGCCCCGCCCCGCGCCACCTGCCCCGCCTGCCCTCCGGCCTGCCCCGCCTGGTGCCTGGCCTGGCCTGCCCCGCCGCCTGCCCCTGCCGCCCGGCCTGCCCCCTGGCCTGGCGCCTGGCCTGCCTCCCGGCCTGCCTCCCGGCCTGCCCGGCCTGCCTTCCCGGCCTGCCCGGCCCGCCCGGCCTGCCCTGCCCGCGCCCGGCCTCCCGCCCCGCGGCGCCCGGCGGGCGCCGCGCCGCCCCCCGCCCCAGGCCCGGCAGCGGCAGCGTGCTCGGCCGCACCAAGGCGGCCGGGAGAGGCAGAGCAGCAAGTGCCACGGGGGGGCTGCGAGACCCTCGGAGCCTGCGAGTCCCGTTCGGAGCCCCCGTGGACGTCAGCGCCGGCTCAGGCTGGGCCGGCGAGGCAGGGATGCAGGGGCAGCCCTGAGGCGCCAGCGAGTCCTTGCTATGGATCTTGGCTGTATTGATCTGGCGGGCGGTGCGGAAGGGCAGGTGCGCCCACCCCGCCGATGGGACGCAGGAGGACATACCAGTACCATGTGTCCTCCTCAGAGGCGCGCGTCCGACCATGTCGTATAGCCCGACCACATTTGCGAGTATTGCTTCCAAAGCGGCACGGGAAGAAAGCGCCCGCCACTGAGAAGAAACTGTGAGATTTTTCGGCGCGCGCGCTGCCCCTGGAGTGCGCACGCACACGCTCTGGTGGTGCCAAAAGTCCGCAGTAGCTCTCTATAATGGGCCTGGCGAATGCGCGCCGTGCTGCCGTGCTGCCCTGTCGATCGGTCGGCGGGGCCTCGGCGCAGGTCGGGAGGCTGCCCTGGGTTGAAGTCGGGCGTGTCCCCCTACAGGGGGATTTTTGGGCGAAAAACACAAAATACTCAAAAAATGTCCCCCGAATGGGCAAAAATAGTCAAAAAATCATCCCCTGACTAATTTTTTAACTATTTCTGACTATTCATCCATGTAGAGAGGGACAGGCCCGACTGAACCCTGGGTTGCCTCCGTCGCCCTGCCGCGGTGCCAGAGGGCCCTGGACGCTGGCGCTGCAGGGCAGCCCCCGCCAGGCCCGCTGGGCACATGGGGCCAGAGAGTCGCGCCGCGGCTGCGGCCTCTCAGGCACCGCCGAAGCACGGCACGGGGCTGAACCTGAACGGTGTTTTCCGTTTACGTATTGTTTTCGCTTTCCTTCGTTTTGTCTTCAGTCCGCCTTTCCCGCAAAACGAAATCGAAACGAAAACGGCCCACGAAATCGCAAAAACACCGTTCAGATCCAGCCCTGGCATGGCACACACACACACACACACACACACACCTACACACACCACCACAAAAGATCAAACATATAGAATCTGGCGGCGTGCAAAGCCAGACTGCCAGATGGGGGGGAACAAGAGTGGGGGGCACTTGGCCCACGGGGGGAAACACTGAACTGGAATCGGCGATGCATCGCCGATAGATCGCCGACAGGCCCTCGACGGCGAAACCCCACGTTCCTGGGCGGGAAAGGGGGCCCTAAACCCGATCGGCGATGAAAGGGCAATTGGGAGTTTATGCTTCCCCCCAGGCCAGTCCCCCCCCGGTCGCGATCCTTGAGCAAAATACTAGAGTGACGCGACATCACTCTAATGATGTGCTAGCGCTGTCGAAAGAGACAAGGTGTTGGTGCACTTCTGGTCCGGAGTCGCGGCCTCGGTATTTGAGTCGCCGCCGAGGAGACCTCCGACTGCATACCCAGCATTGCCAAGGTTCTTAGCGAAGACGTTGAGGTACTTGGTACCCTGGCGAGTCGTACCGTTCACCACCCTCAACTCGACCTTGCCAAACTGCGTCCATTTCATGTGGTTGGGCTTGTCGTCGGACGATGCGAAGAACTCAAGCGGGGCAGTCTGATTAGTCCAGTGCCCAGATATTTTCACGACCTGGAAATCCGACACCGCGCCGCGAGGCACGAGTTGGAGTGTCCCCAGGCCAGTCCTCGGCTCAGTCCTGTCCTCAGGACTGAACTCCGAGGGCCCGCGCTCCGAAGTCCTGGATCTCCTGGGGCTCCCGGCGTGCCCGACGGACGCGGCACGCCTTCTCGCGCGACTCCTCGGGCCCGAGAGGGCCCCACAACGGGCCCAGGGGCGCCCCGAGACGGGCACGGTGGCGGGACGGGCCGAAGGCCAGCAGACCCACCGCTCCCCAGGCGTGCCCAAGGGGTTGGCCTGGGCCTGCGTCTGTCCTGCGGCTTCCCGCCGAGGCCTCGGGCCCATGCGCCGGCCGCGCGGGAGGCTGCGGGGAAGACCTGCACGAGTGCCTCCAAGACGGCCAAGGTGGCCCAGGACAGCCTCCGAGATGCCCCTGGCACGGCCTAGATGGTCCCAAGAGGGCCCAAGATGGCCCCAAGAGGTCTCCGAGACGGGCCGAGACGCACCCGAGACGGCCCGAGATGACCCAAAGATGTCCCCAGACGGCCCAAGATGCTCCAAGGGTGCCAAGGTGCTCCAAGGGTGCCAAGACGGCCCAAAATGCCTCCAAGAGGGTCAGCAGGAAGACACCAAGAGACCAAAATCATAAATTGTCCTTCGGTTTTGCAGGATTTGGGAAGTGACTCCTTTTCGATTTTCCGACGACCCAAGGCGGCCCAAGAGGCCATCAAGATGACCCCAAGTGCGCCCAAGAGGACTCCCAAAAAGGCCATCTGACGAATGGCCCCAAGACGGCCGAGGAGACCTCTAAGACGCCAAGATGGCCTTCAAGACGGCCCTGAAGCGCCCCTGTAAGGCCCCGAGTCGGCCCAGAGAGGCACCCAAGAAGGCTTCCGACCTTTCGGGCCAGGGACGCCCAAGACGAGCGAAAATTGCACAGCGCCCGCCCCCAAGCGGCCCAGGGAGAACTTCAAGAGGCCTCCACGAGGCGCCCAAGAGTGCCCCAAAAAGCTCCCAAGAGGCCTCGTACTCCTCCTCCTCCTCCTCCTCCTCCTCCTCCTCCTCCTCCCTCCTCCTCCTCCTCCTCCTCCTCCTCCTCCTCCTCCTCCTCCTCCTCCTCCTCCTCCTCCTCCTCCTCCCTCCTCCTCCTCCTCCTCCTCCTCCTCCTCCTCTCCTCCTCCTCCTCCTCCCTGCTCCTGCTTCTGCTCCTCCTCCTAGTACTCCTCCTCCTCCTCCTCGTCCTCCTCCTCCTCGTCCCCTCCTCCTCCTCCTCCTCCGCCTCCTCCTCCTCATCCGCCGCCTCCTCCTCCTCCTCCTCCTCCTCCTCCTCCTCCTGTTCCCTCTCTCTTGTCTTTCTCCTCTTCCTCCATGACTTGTTCCCCTCTGGATTCCAAGAACGGCCCCAAAAAAACGCAGTCCGATAGCGTGCCCGAGCTCTGGCCACACGTTCGACCACACAGGCGCTTCCCAAAGGTAGGGGGCGGCGGTGTTTCGCCGCAGGCCTCTTCGATACACGTCAGAGCACGCGCCTCCTATGCGCCTGGCGTCGGCCTCCAGGCGCAGCAGCGTCTGCTCTGCACCGGTCCAGCGCGGGATCTGCAGGAGGACGTTCACGCCACTGCGGTAAAGGTCGAAGTGCTCGCCATACATGTTGGTGAGATGGGGGTCGCCAACGCCAGAGACGGGCGCTGGTGTCGGCGCTGGTGTCACTGAGGGTGCCTAGAGGAAGAGAAGGCTGCATGAACATGAACTGTTGGAGGTCCGCGCGGAGTTCTTGGATCTGTGCTGGATCTCTCTCCCTGGCGCGCTGAGCGCGCCGGGGGGCCCAGCGCCGATCCAAGAAATCCGCGCGCACTGTCGATTTATGTTTATACATATTGATCTTCTTCGAGTGCCTGAGCCACCACGTTAGCAGTCCCGCCATAAGCCGTCGGGATGCCGGTGATCGTGTTGGTAGCACTCCCCTGCAGCAGCAGCGTCTTCTTCTGGTCGGCGGTGAGCGCGGTTGTCCCTGGGTCCTCGTACATGATGGCCACGAGCCCAGCGACGTGTGGAGTGGCCATCGACGTACCTAGAGTTAGGTCGGGCCTGTCCCCCTACCGGGGGATCTTGGCCGAAAAATGACAAATACTCAAAAAATGCTCAAAAGATGCCCAACAATACTAACAAAAAATAGTCCCCTGACTATTTTTTGACTGTTTTTGAATATTCCTCCTGTAGAGGGACAGGCCCGACTTAATCGTGGCTCCAAGGACTGCTGACGTCTCGCTTCTGCCCCCGCCGCCGGCCCGCCGGCGGAGCCGACCCCGCTCTACCTCTGACGGCCTTCCGCCAGAGGGCAACTCCTGGATCCCTCGAGGGCGTACAGTCGGACCCGATTGGACAGGACGCGCGAGAGGACACAAGACCCTTCCGAGGGCCACATTGCCACATTGCCATGTGGGACGTACCTAGAGAAACAGAAAACTGCATGAACACGAAGTTTCAGGCGGCATGTTTCTACATATCTAAAGCATGCTTGAAACATGTTTTAGACATCTGGCAAATTATTTGACAGCATGCTTCCTCTCCATTAATCAACTTCCACAAACGTACCACTCTTCGTACTCGTCGCAGTGTCGCCTGAATGAGACGTCGATTTGACAGAGCTGCCCGGAGCCCAGACATCGATGCAGGAGCCGTAGTTGCTGAAGCTCGACTTGGCATTCGACTGATCGTATGATGCCACTGTAATTGCCGAAGGGACGAACGCCGGGGTGACAGTGCATGCGTCGGTGTTAGAGTTCCCTGCAGCCACCACCACCGTTGCGCCACTGTTCACCACCTGGTCCATCGCGTCCTCTACCGATTGGTGCGTGCCAGGGCCCTCAATACTCACGCTAATCACGAATGGCATGGGAACATTAGTTTCAATGTACTCGATAGCGTCGACGATCCACGACAAATAGCCAGTGCCGTCGTCCTTGAGGACCTTCGCCGCGTAAAGGGTTGCGGCGCTCGCGACACCATAACAATGGCCTATGGAAGTGCCCGCGACATGGGTGCCGTGCCCGTTGAGGTCATTGGCACATGTTGTGTCGGTTCCATCGCATACAGTCAATGTATTTTCAGGGTTGGTTAGATCCAAGTAACGGACAGCCCGGCCTTCGAAATCTGCGTGGGTTGAGCGAACGCCCGTGTCGAGAGAAAATATGCTCACCCCACTGCCCCGGGGGCGGCCCACGTCGGCATTGATGGCGGAGATTCCCCATGGATGATTGCATGTCGCGGACGCAGACGCCACACCTCCCATCACGATGTCTTCATCATAAACCCCGACCTCCTCGTCAGCAGCGTCAAAGATATAATTGTGAAGCTCGTCCTCCTCGGCATACTTCACGGACTCAGAGTTCCTTTCCAGCACTGCCTGAAGACCGTCTTCTGTCAAATCCCCAAACGCGAATGCCAGCGCGCCCATATCTGGTTGGGTATGCCTCCCACTGCCCTGGAACTCCGGCTCCGCGATGAATGTTTCCAAAACCTGATCCGTAGCACTGCTGTTCAGCGCGAAAATCCATTTACGAATCGGCGCCTGGTCACGTCGAGGAGGATCGGCCGCCGACGGGTAGACGCGCACGTTGGCGTGAGTGTAGAACTCCCTCCCTCTTTCGTCCCTCGACATCGTCTGAGCAGTCTTCGAAATCTGCATCAGCTGGAGATCGCCCGCAGAAGCAAAGCCAGCGGCGCCTGAGGCCCCGATCAGGCTGGCGATCACGACACACCGCGCCATCGTCGAAACAAACGACCCCAAGGCAACAATTACGAATGTGAAACCAAAGGATAGGTACAATCTACGTCAAGTGTTCTTGAGACCAAACGGAAGCGGACATACAAGGAGGAAGGCATGATGGGGAGGGGGCAGCGGAGAGATGAGGAACACGATGTACCAAATACCCCTGTCCAGTGCCAACACTCTGCTTCATGATCGCACTCCGATAAGGGTCGGTATCCCTCCGTTTCCACCACGCAGGAACAACACCACAGACGGGATGCTAAGGATGGTGGGAGAAGGAACATGCCACTGCTCCTGACCACAGTCAACCCGTATGATAAGGATGCGCGATACGGATGCAAGGGCCTTGGAGGCCCATGGCAACGTTTTTCAAACGAGGCTGGCCAGCCAAAATCGCTCATGATGGGCCGAAGGGGCAAGGATGCAGGGGTAACCTTGGAAAGCCGCTCATCCTTACTGCGCGGGTTGACCGTAATCCACCACCATCCCGTCATGCAGTCGGACCCAGGATGGCAGCACATCCTTCAAGAACACGAGACCCTCCGCTGGCCAAAACACACAGAACAGCCAAGGACAGCCTCCCCAGGATGCACGAGAGAACATCCAGCAGGCACGAGGAACATCGGGACACTCTCCCCGAGCCGACCTCGGCCGCACACCTCGGTCCGACCGCACGAGCGTGAAGCGGAACGGCCCGCGGGGAGTCTTGAAGACCCTTGGGCCATCGATCTGCCAGGAGCCACGGAAGCGCCCGGGACCCTCCCCCGCCATCCCTCCCTCCGCCCGCGTCCTCTCTCCCATCCCTTCTCCCCCCGAATTGCTCCTCCCCTATCCATCCCCCTTCATCCCTTCTGTTTCTATCCTCCTCCTCCTCCAGCTTCCTGACATATCATTCCTCCCCCCTCTCCTGTCCTCCCTGCTGCCTCCTCCCTCATTCCTCCTCCCTCGTCCTCCCTCCTGGTTCCTGGTTCCTGGTGGCTGCATGGTCATGCTGACGAAGCCTCCGCCCTCCCTCCTCCTCCTCCTCCCGCCCGACTCCCTCCTGCATCCACCCTCCGAAGAAGAAAGAACGCCCACTCCTCCCTCCCACCTCATCCTCCCTTCCTCCTGCCTCCCTCCCCCTCCCTCCTCGACCCTGCCCCAACCCCCGACCGAGGATCAAGCACTTTTCCGGCGCGAGGGCGGCTCGGAAGGCGAGGCCGCCCCGGTCCGAAGGGCTCTGCCGCAGCGGCCCGTGCACAGGCCTTGCTCTCTGGTGGAGCACGGCGGGGCTGACCTAGCAGAGGTCGGGAGAGGAAGGAGGGGGAGGAGGGAGCGAAGAGGGAGCGACGAGGGAAGGAGGGGGGCTGGAGGGGGAGGAGGGAGCGAGGGGGGCGAGGGAGGGAGGAGCAGCGGGAGAGAGAGAGAGCTAGAGAGAGGGAGAGACAGACAGACAGAAAGACAGACTGACCGACCGACCGACCGACCGACCCACTGACCGACAGACAGACACACAGGCAGAAAGACTGACGGACAGACATGAGGGAGAGAGCAAGACAGAGAGAGCGAGAGAAAAGGAAGCAAGGTAAGGGACGAGAGAAAAGAACGAGAGAGAGAAGGAGAGAGAGAGAGAGAGAGTCTGTGTGTGTGCGTGTGTGCGTGTATGAGAGACAGGGGGGTGATGATAGAACATGACAACGTATCCGCCACCACGCCTGCACGGAGTGGGCGTGTGAAGCGTGCTCGTCTGTTGTGCGGGAGGATGTTCAATGTGTTCTAGTGCCAACCTGGCTCCACCATTTGCACGCATCCTTCTGACATCGCCCCCCCTGAAATTGCTCTCTGGCGGATTGTTCGGCCTCCAGACGGCCAGGATGGCCTCCAACACGGCGTCCAAGACAGCCAACATGACACCAAAACGACCCAGGATGGTCCAAGTCCGGTCAAGAGGCTCCCAAGACTGCCTCAAGACAGCCCAAGAGGCCTCCAAGACGGCCCGAAAGGGCTCCAAGAAGCCATCCTGGAGAGCCGGTGGAGGCAAAAACCGTTGAATGTCCTGCGGCTGTAGAAGGATTTTGGGATTCTCGCCCCCTTGGGTTTGCGACCGCCCAGGGTGGCCCGAGGTGCCTCCAGAAGAACTCCGAGGCAGCCCAACGGGCCCCCAGAGAGCTCCAAGTCGGCCAAAGAGGCCCACGAGCGGCCCCAAACAGGCCCCCAAGAGGCCTCCACGAGAGCCCGAGAGAGATCCCAAGAGACTCAGGGAGGCATCCAAGAAGCCTCTGGCCCACGGAGGCTCCCCGAGCCCTCCACTTGAAGCCACGCTCCATCGATAGGGGCAGCTCCCCTGGGTATCGTTCTTTGATGGGCTGGTGGGGGTACGTGAAGCGTTCTGAATTCCACATCCTTCCTTCTACGCTGTTGCACAGGCGCGGCGGCGGGGCTTGCCGCAGGCAGCTGGACATACATGTTCGTAGATGCGCCGATCTGGCGTGTGAGCTTCTGAACTACAGCCTACAGCCTGAAATTCAGCTCTGTTGGGGGGGGGTCCGGGAGGGCTCTGCCAGGAAGAGGGGGCAGGGGGAACGGTGCGCTCGTGTTTCGTTTTCTGGGCGGGGCTGGGACACGTAAAAATCCGCCAAATTCCCACCCCGGAGGCCAGAGAGCTCAAGATGGCCGCCAGGTCTTTCCCAGACGGCCCAAGATGCACCCAAGATGGCCCAGGATGCCTTCTAAAACAAAACAGGAAAAGGCCCAAACCATTGATTTCTAGAACCTGTTGAAGGATTTGGGCGCTTCATTCCGTTCAACTTTCGACGGCCCCAAAGGCCCCCAAGATCGCCCCAGAGGCCTCCAAAATGGCGCCATGATGGCCCAAGAGGCTCCTAAAGACGCCCCCACGAGGGTCCCAAGACGGCCCCATGGGCCCCTCAAGGCGGCCAAGATAGCCTCCAAGACGGCCCTGAAACGCCCCTTGAATGCTCCCGTCTGGCCCAACGAGGCGCCTACGGCGTCCGACGGGCCAGGAATGCCCGAAGACAGCCAAAAAGGCTTCCAAGAAGCCCCGAAAAGGCCCAAAGACCCCTCTCAAGAGGCCTCCTCCTACGACGGGCCTAAGAAGGCCCCAGGACGGCGGATCGGAGGAGAGAGGAGGATGGGAGGATAATGGGACGGGAGGAAGAGGAAGCGGATGAAGGAAGAAGGATAAATCCACCGACCCCCACTTGCCAGTTGAAAAAGTGCGTGATCTGATTGGCTGTCCCCTCCCCTTAAGAATCAAAACTCCAAAAGGGGGGGGGCCCGGGGAGTCACCGGCGCACCTCCCGAGTCTCCTGATCCACCCTCCGCGGTCTCCAAGATGCCCATGACGCCCTCGACGATGGCCCACGAAGTTATCCAACACGCCAGGAGGGGCCTCAAGAGAATCCAAGATGGCGCCTCCGAGCCGCCCCAAGAGAGCTCCAGGAGAGCCACAAGAGAACCCCCGGAGGCCCCTCAGGAGACAAAAACCATTGATTCCCCCGCAACCGTACCCCGGGCACGCTGGGGCGCGTCAGGAAGCTACTCAGCTGCCCACAGCCATACACGAAGTTGAACTCGCCCCTCGCCTGCCCCCCGCGGCCCGAGGCGCGAGCTCGCCGAAGGCGTTGCCAACCTCTGCCCCGTCACACTGCCCATCATCAGCGCCACGAACGGCTGGATATAGTGGGTCCTCTTTTACAGCACTCAACGGAATGGCCGTCAAAATGAGCGGACCGTCGCCAGAATGAACGTCAAAGCTGCTGCTGGCCAGGCTGCCCCACGCCGCGCCCAGCACCCTTAGCAGCCGCCGGCTCGTCCTGGCATCCGCCAGGACATCGATAGCGCCCCCGAGAGGCTGACTTGCGGCCCGCGCAGTGGCCGCGGCAGATGCTGGTGCAAACGAGCCAGCGGCCGCGGCTGGGACTGCCGCGGGGCCAGGCTGCCCGCTCGGTGCTGCTTCGCCCGGCACGGTCTTGCGTTTCTTCTGGAGGCGTTCCTCAACCGCCTTCCGCTGGCGGTGGAGTTCCCGCGCCTCCGTGGCAAACTGGCCGAACGCCGTGGTGGCAAGCTCCTTGTACTCCTGCTGGAGTGCCTGCTTTCTGCTTGTTGCCTCCTCTTTGTCAGGCTCCTTGAACCCGCATACCTCCAGCTCCTCCAATGTTTCGAACCCGAAAAGCCCGTCGTCGAACCTGACGTCAGGGACGTCGAGAGGCGAAGGAGTGAAGATCTTCGGCGCCGTTGGCTCGGCTGCCTGCTGCTGAGGGACCACCTGCCTGGCGAGCGTCTGGATGGCATTGGTGTAGGTATTCGTGGTATCGTCCAGCCTGGTGGTAGCCCGAGCCACGCACTGCTTGGCCAGCCCCAGCTGCTCCTGGTGCGCTCCGCCTGGCCCACCGCCTCCTGGAGCTCGGCCGCGGCCTCGTCTGTGACCATGTCCACCGACAGGGGGCCAGCGCGCCTGGCCTTGCGCAGCTTGTCCAGCTGCATATGGTACTTCTGCACCACCTCGTCATCCTTGAAGAGCCGCAGGAGGCCGATGAGTTGTACTAGCTTGTCCTCCTCAGGGTCTGCCACCTTTCCTGCTCCTGCGGCTCGGCCCCAGTCCTGGAGGGCGCTGGACCGAGGGCCTGGCCCACCACCGCCAGGAGCAGGACGGCCGCGGTGCCATGGAGCCGGGCCACGGCCGCTGGAAGGCCCCCTGCGCGGCGGAGGCCTGGTGGGCACGATTTCCCTGATGCATTGCTTACACCAGCTCCACCAGGCCTCGCCCGCACTGGGGGCATGGGCCCGCGAGACCCTCCTTCGTGGCGCCTCCGCCTGCTGGGTTTGCCGCCGGCCGCGGCTTCCCATTTGACACCTGGTCCCGCCTTTGCATTCATGCGTGAGAGCGAGTGGTACCTGGCTGCCGTGGTGCTGGTCCAGCAAGAGGTACTGCATCAGCAGCTGCAGCTGCTCGCGCGCCTGCGCTCGACGTCGGCGAAACCACCGATGCCAGGCAGGCGAGGCTGACCGCGCGCCGCTGGGGTCCAGCGTCGCGCCCGCCCGATGGGCGGCGCTGGGGGCTATCGCGCGGGGGCCGCCCGAGCCCAACCGCGGGGCAAGACGGCCGCGGCCCCGCCGCGAGCCACCTAGGAGGAGGAGGAGGAGGAGGAGGAGGAGGAGGAGGACGAGGAGGAGGAGGAGGACGACGACGACTTTTTCGGTCGAGGAGGAGAAGGTGCAGGAGGAGGAGGACTTTTCGGAGTAGGAGGAGGAGGAGGAAGAAGAAGAAGAAGACTTCCTATTATTATGCATAGCAGTCTCATTAGTAGTAGAAGTAGAAGTAGAAGTAGAAGTAGAAGTAGAAGTAGAAGTAGAAGTAGAAGTAGAAGTAGAAGTAGAAGTAGAAGTGGAAGTAGAAGTAGAAGTAGAAGTAGAAGTAGTAGTAGTAGTAGTAGTAGTAGTAGTAGTAGTAGTCGTAGTCGTAGTCGTAGTAGTAGTAGTAGTAGTAGTAGTAGTAGCAGTATTTAGCGTAGTAGTAGTAGTGACGGACTAAGTCTTCCAATGAATGAGAAATGGGCCTAGTTAGAAGTAGTTATAGCAGCAGTGATAGTAATAGTAGTAGTAGTAGCGATACTAGTACTAGTAGAAGGAGTAGTA